AATTTTTTTATTAATCTCTATGTTTGGAGGCAGGCATAACATAGGCCTACTTGTGGATTATGTTTGTTTATCAGTAGCTCTAACAAGTATTGGGTACTTTTGGTGGTTTTGGGAAGAAGTATACAGTTAAATTTAAGAAAAGGTTAAGATTTGTTGTTGTCTTTCGGTTGGTTACACTGCAGCCATTATTATTCAGTCTTTTTTTAATCTAACTTATTTTGTTGACAATTGTGAAAGTGAAACTTAAGAAGTTGCTACAATTACTGCTTCAGCATTGTGTTTATATTTTTCTTGTCATATTGTAACATTAATTTCATTTTGTCGAATTCTGGTTGTGTAGCCAGCTGAATTATTCTGAAATACTGCGTATACTAAAGGTGTTTGCACAAGTTACATAGGATCAGATTTTCTTTAAAGGAGAAAAATATCTCTGATAAGTAGTGAGGAAAAATGAACATATCTGTCCTATAGGTATAGTTGTATTTTCCAGTTCTTTAATGGGAGAAACTACATCTAAGAAAGTTTTAACGTTTTTTAACAACCTGTTCAGATGTAGAGTCATGATTGATTAACTATAGTTTGGTGGGTTTTTTAATGCGCAATCTTTCCTATTTCATAGACTTTTGTTTATTCTATAAGCATGGTGGTAATGGTTGCTTTAAAAAAAAAAGTTGTTTGTCAGAAAAACAGATAACACTGGGAAAGCAGCTGGACTGAATTTTAACTGGATAAATCATTACTTTTTTGAAATAGGAGATCAGCAAAATCTCGAAGCAGAAGTCCATATTCATCAAGGCACTCAAGATCTCGTAGCAGACACAGATTGTCTAGATCCAGAAGTCGTCATTCAAGTATTTCTCCTAGTACATTGACTCTGAAGAGTAGCCTGGCTGCTGAGCTGAACAAAAACAAAAAAGCAAGAGCTGCTGAGGCGGCCAAAGCCAGTGCAAAAGCTTCCAATACTTCAACACCTACTAAGGGAAACACTGACGCTGCTGTGAGTGCATCTCAAGTGAACAATGTAAAGGACCTGAAGAAAATAAAAACAGAGCATACACCTTCTCCTACAAGCAGTGCAAATTTGAAAAATGACAAGGCAAAAGCGAAGGTCTCGCTTCCTGAAACAAAAGGGGAAAATAATGTAATTGCAGACAAAATTACTAAACAAAAACCTACAGCAGTAAAAGAGAATAAATTAACTGTTGCAAAGCAGCCACCGGTCACTGTAAAAGAGAAAAGCAAACAGAGTACACCAAGTGTAGTCACCAAGGAGAAGGATCGAATTGTTGCACTACCAACCTCCACACTGCCACCCTTGCCTTTGCCTCCCACGCTGCCTGAAGATAAAGAAACTGATAGGTGAGTTGTAACATAAATTTGCTTTTTGGGGTTGTCTGTTCCTTTTTATTATTGTCGTTGTCTGTGGTGTTGTTTTTTTTAAATTGTTATCATGATTATTTCGTGTGGCAAACAAATATGAACCTATTTGCTAGATCAGGCTGATGCATTAGGTAGTTTGTTCTTGCTCTTCAATTCTGTAACATGGTGATTATGAATGAACTGAAGGAACTTACCTTAAAAATAATTTAACTGGTTCTTGAAAAGAGAAGGATTTAGTCTAGGAGGAATCTTTCAGGGAAAGTACACTAAAGAGATGACTTAAAATTGCTGGTACATAATAGCTTTGGGACTAATGTAAGAGTGCGTTCAAGGATTCAAATTTGGTGCGAACATGTACGTACTTCTGGGGAAAAGCTAAATCCAGTAGCAATATGTGAAAATTCTTGAATTACCTGGGGTCTGAGGTAGAGATTTTTCTTCCCTTTGGAAGGTAATTGTTTTTATAGCTGTATGTTATTTTAGTATAATTTATCTCAGAGATCAGTATTATTTTGAGTATGTATAAGGGAAGTCAGGTTCATGGCTTGACATTTATGTTGACCTTTGAAGTGTAAAAATTGGTCTGTAGTGAAGAAATTCACGCCTGTATTCCAAGTGCCATCTGAGTTTAGACTACATTAATTATGTTCTAGTCCTAACAAAGAATATGTGCTGTGATTTGTATTGGAAAATCACGCTGTTGAGCTGTAGTTTACTATTTTCTTCTGGTTTGGTGATGAAGTTGAGAAAAGTTACTTTTGTTTTTACTCATGGTGTTACATGCCTCTCATGTATACAAGAAATCAACTTCTCACAACAAGTAAAACAAAATTTCTTAGCATTGAAGTAGTAACTAGTATGTGGATACATCTTTGTAAAAAATCAAACTGTAAAAGAAAAATTCAAAACCTTATGGATTACTTTATTGGTATCCTGTATCTGTGAAACTAGCCTGTGTTCTCTTGAGAAGTGTGTGGTGTTTCTTTGATTAGTAAAAGTAGTTATAACTAGAGGTGTGAATATTTTTCTTGTGTTAGCTAGTAATTTAATGCTATGTTAAACATTAGGATTCCTTGGCAAATAAATACAACCTAACAAGGTGTTACAGATGTTTATTTTTTTTAGCAGTAAAAGAGAAATCTTGTTTCTTGCCCTTCAGCACTCTAGCAAACGTAATTCCAGTTGTTCAGAATCACATCTGTGTGGCAAGTGTACAGTTGCATTTAAATTTATTACAAAGCCATCCTCTCTAAGTCAATCGGATTTCTGACACTTATTTAAGAGCAAGATTTACTGTTCTAACAAAAAACTAGGCTAACTAGTTTAACTAAATAGATGACTGGCATTGCAGTGTTAATTGCGGTAACATGGCTACAGTTCTATCAGCACTGGGCTCATTCTGCTTTCAAAAAAATAGCCTAATGCTTACAAATAGCTGCATTAGAAAGATTAATGACAAGTAATAGAATGTCATTTATGCTTTGTTTAGTTTTGCCTGTAGGTTGTTACAAACCTCAGATCAGAGTGGTTGTGATTACAGGTTATGATAAAGCTTAAGTCATCAAAGAAAAATTATCAATATTTTGTAGGGGGGAGGAGGGCAAAGGTATTTACCTTGAGCTCAGAGTTACTGTGGGGAAATTGTGCCAGCAAAGAAAGCCTGATGCTGTGCAGAACTGGCTGGTTCCTACTGTTGTGTCAGTTGTGTGTCAGTAAGAATCATTGCTGTGTCAGTGAGAATCTGATAAACCCACAAATAAACTACCTAAGGGAACAGCAGTGTTGCAAAACCACTGTGTAGATTAGCTGAAAGGGAAAACTGTTCTGGTGGTCAATGACGTGTACTTTAACAGACCCAAAAAAAGGCTGCTCTTGCCTGCCTCTGTTTTCATGTACCACTTTAAAAATCTGTTTCAGAACCTCTCGTATATTGTACTTTCACTAGTATTGAAGGTTTGGGGGCAAAATTGTGAGAGAATTACAAATATATGAACTTCAAAATTAAGAATTTTTCTTTACCATAATTGTATGCTGTCCAAAGGTGGTTTATTCTTCATATTGTGTTAACCATTATGTTTATGATGAGGACAATCCGTGCTTTCTTGAGGTGCTTCTTTAAATTCAGGCAGGGGCAGCTTGAGAAGTGGTAGAAGACATTCAAGTGTTCTGTTTTCAAGGGGAAGCACAGACATATGCAAAACACTGGAATGCTTTATTTAAATATATAAAGATTGCTGGTTGCAATTGATGTAAGAAAGAATACATGCATTCTCCGTGATGGAAGATAGGAAGATCTTTCCATTTACAGAAGTTTCTGCTTTATCTATGAAATTAAATAGGTAAGGAGTTGCAGAAAAGCCTCCAGGAAAGGTTCCCAGAGAAGGATGCTGACAGTAGAATAGTGCGATTCGGCAAATGCAGCTATCTTGGAAAATGTCCCCTCAAAGAATGACAGAAAGTTTTCTTGATACAATGACAAAGTTTGAAATTTAATGAGAGTACACTATATGTGAGTCCTGGGGGGAGAAACAGTTAGGTAATTATATGAAGTTTAGAGATGGTCGTGGCTTTAAAATTGCTGGATATACAGTAGCTGCACAAATCTAGCTAAACTAGAGGAAGTTCTGGTAAAATGGAATCATGTGTTTAAAATAATCCTGCAGCAAGTATGAAGTTTTCAGAATTTCCTCATTAGTATGGGAAGACCATCTCTAGAATTACATCATATGGTAATTATTAATGGAATATATATGTGTTTGGTTTTTTTTTCTCAAGGCAATGACTGTCAGTATGTTATCTAATTATGGTTGATGATTAAAAAAATGGTCAGATGTTGATAACTCATGGCAGAAAACCATTTAGTCGTTTTTTCATCTGGTTTTTGGTTTTGTTGGGTTTTTTTCCTCCACTTGATTTGCATTGCTGATCACTAGAAATGTGTTGGATCTGGAGTGTTTCAGCAAGTGTATGAGACTGGAATCTGTAAATGAGGTACTGTAGACTGCCTTGTAGTGCCCTACAGTTACTGTAACTGCGAAGCTCATTATCTCTGGAGACCAACTTCATAGAGAGCTGGATTAGGATAGTCTTCTCTTTTTGTGTGAGAAGTCAGCCAGAGTACAGATTTTACCACTACACTTCTGATGTTTGGCGGCACCTGAGCTCTAAATGCTCTTAATAATCTAGGCTATAAGCTTGAGAAGAAGCTTATGCGGCAGAAGTCAGGCCTGGTAAGGCTTGCTGTGTCATCTAACCTCAGCTTTCACCAGATTTCATTGTTTCTGTAGAATTTTGGTAGTTAGCTGTGCGTCTTCCAGAGAGCTATTTGCGAACCATTTGTAAAGCATAAATCAAAGTCCTGCAAATTCTAAGAGCAGAGCTTTCAAATGTTGATGTGTTTACAGCCTAGAATGTACTTTTAAAAAAAAAAATTCCAATAGGTTTTCCTTTGTGTGTGTTAGTATCATTCTACTGTGTTCAACTTATTAGCAAAATTGTGTCTTTTTTTAATAGTTTGCGAGAGAATCTTACAGTGAAGTCAGCTAAGGAAGCAGAGAAGAAACTTCGCCATCTGCTTGCAGACTTGCCACTTCCACCGGAGTTGCCTGGAGGAGCTGACTTATCCAAAAGTCCTGAAGAAAAGAAACCAGCGGTACACAGCAAGAGAAGACCAAAGTATGTTTGTTAGACTTTTTTTATGAAGCCTATCAAGCAAGTAGAAGTGATAATAGTTTCTTTAAAATATTTTTTTTTCAGAAGAATTCTGCTTTTTAATGACTTTTTAAATATTAATGAGCCTTGACTTAAACTGCATGGGTTATTGTCAATTAATGGTAGTAAGCCAGTTATCTAATAATTCCTCATAAACATTCAGTGTTGAGGGTTTTTTCAAAGTTAAGACAATCCTTATGTACACTAGCTGTATTCTTAGAAATGCTTGTTGTTTTCTAGAATATGTGGACCACGACATGGTGAAACGAAAGAAAAAGAAATAGACTGGGGAAAGCGCTGCGTGGATAAATTTGATATCATTGGTATTATTGGTGAAGGCACTTATGGGCAAGTTTACAAAGCCAGAGATAAAGACACAGGTGGGTTTAAAAAAAAATTGAATGTAATCCTGCAATTCTAAAGTGAACAGGATATTTTGGTGGTTTTTTGTTTTGTTGGGTTTTTTTCTGTTGAGTGGAATTTGTGGTATTCTGCCTTCTAATGTTTGGAAAGTTTTTAGTTGTTGGTTTGTTTAGTTTAAATTAGTGTTTGTCTAGATCAGAAATTATCTTTTGTTACCTTGGAATATCATTCATCTGTAAAGTTGTGGCTGAAAGCAAGCTGAGTAGTTGTAATTTCTAATTCTTTTTTTTTTTTTTTTTTTTTTGAGTTTTGATGCTCTGTACACAGTTGAGCAAGTGAGGAAGAGAGGGTTAATACTCTGGGGAAACAAAATAGCAGCCTAGGCAAGTTGACAATAATGAAGTTTTTAAAGGAATTAAGGGTGAAAGAAGCTATGCATGAAATTTAGCCATTTTTCTTCTCCTTACTGCATTAGTCACGAGCTGATAGTATGAAGAGAATCTGCCTCTGTACAACACAGCCCTGAAGTGTTGCAAATTGGTATTTTTCTTGCAGTGTAACTGACTTTACAACAGTGACATAATTTTTAAATTCCATGTTAAACTATTGCTCAAATGAGCAAGTAGTCACCACTATATATAATATGCAAGAATGTTGTCACTGCTTCTGAACAGATAATACATTGAAATCGATTCTTCATATGTGCTGTACGTTGCGTGATCGTTTTATGTTCAAGGAGTAGTTCTTTCTGTGACTGCTAGCCCTTCTGGCCTATTTGTGTGTTCTTTGAATGCTGGATAATTTTCTACTTCTGCAGTAACTGAATCACATAGCATCACATGCCAGCCTCAGTTCCTTCCTTCTGATCTTCAGAAGAATGAGCTGTGTAATTGTAATTCCTTCTTTGTTCTTCTTTGCTTGTCTCAGTTTGCAAATTTTAGTTCTTAAGTTGAATTGTCACAGATTTTATTTTTTACCTCTACCTTGGGAACCATTGTAAATCATCGTTAGAAGCTTCTTCCTGCTCTCCTAGGATTCTGTTCTTCACACATTTAATCCTATCATAACCATAGTGTCTCTCTGGCAAGCTTCAGGTTATTTGTGTGTGGCAGTCTTTTCTTATCTTCCAGTAGAAGTTGTGGCTCTCTGGATTGAATAGATCCACACAGTTACAGCAAACCTTCCATTAGGTTTGGATTCCAATCCTGTGTGAAGAGTGGCGTTAAGGCCTTTGAGATGCCTTATAACAAGCTGTGGAATGGGCTTTCAGAACGAGTGGATGTTGTGTCATACTGGAATGTGATCTATTGTGCATGTATCGTATACGCTGGTGTAGGATAAGTCCTTTTTAGAGCTAACAAAGATATCTGTGCTCTCAATAAACTTCACAAACAGCAATAAACTTCAAAGAACAAAATGGTTGAGCTGGCATACAGTCTTTAGATATCCTCCATCATGAGTAGATCATGCTCCTGCCGTTTTGCGGAATCCAGCTTCATCCAGCCCAGCCTGCAGTAAAATAATGAGAATTTCTCCTTACTGTAAACATGACAGTGACACTTCTGCTTATAGAAACTATACTGATGAATTTTAGAACTCATAGAATGGTTTGGGTTGGAAGGGACCTCAAACATCATCTAGTTCCAGCCCCACACCATGGGCAGAGACGCCTTTTCAGCTTTTTAGTTGTCTGCCTCACATCTTGAACTACATGGTATTTCTGGCTAGATAGACACATTCTGACTTGTGGTGATGTAGTAATAGGAAATCCATAGCGGACGTAGGCTTCTGTCTCTAAAGCTGTGGTTGATAATCACCCTTGTGTGTGGGTTTGTTGATAGAGCTGGTGTGGAATGTCAAGACACGGGTGAGTGAGGTATTCAGGAGGAAGAAGACAGGCCCTACAGTGGGTAGCTGAAAATTCTGATTTATAATTTTGTTTCTCCATATGAAAGTTTCCCAATAATGGCTAGTCCTGTTTCCATTCAGCATAGTGTTTGGTGCAAGAATCAAAATGTTAATTGTTTAGTCCTTTCACAAATAGTAACAAATGGGAAGGGTTTTAAAAACAAAGGAACAAACCCAACATTAAATGCTATAGTTTGGTTGCTAGTCTTAATGGGTTTTATTTAAATTTTCTCTTAGGGGAAATGGTGGCACTAAAGAAAGTACGTCTGGACAATGAAAAGGAAGGGTTTCCAATTACAGCTATTCGGGAGATTAAGATTCTTCGACAGCTTAATCATCAAAGCATTATTAACATGAAGGAAATAGTGACAGATAAGGAAGATGCTTTGGACTTCAAGAAGGACAAAGGTATGTACACTAACTCAGGGGTGGCTCTTTCTGGTCCTGTTTTTAATATGATAGTCTGCTATGCTGGATGTGAAGTTAAGCTTCGTTAAAAAAATATGTTTGCAAATTGTGATGCTTGACAAGGGATTTTAATTTTGATTTAATTACTAATAGAAGTCTCTTAATTCAGCTGTGGCTCTTTCTTATAAAAACATTTTTGCCAATATTTTGTGGGATAAAAAGAAGTGTTGATTCTAGTTTTGCTGGAGAGGAACGGATGTTTGACACCTTGACTCAAGGATTAGGGAATCCAGCAAGATTAGGAAGCCCTTAATTTTGAGCTTTTTTAGCTTTTTATTTTCCTTGTAGTATTTTCTCATCATTTAGAGTATTGTAGGTTCAGCATTGAAGAGATGTTTTTCATTGTAGCCCTTGGTTTTGTTTGAATTGTGCTTCAGTTACTTTTCTCATAATTGCGCGTGTGTGTCTTGAAGGCGAAAAGAAGGAAAAGCGAGATTTGTGTGATGGTGGTGGTTTTTCCCAAATAGAAGGCATGCAGACTTTTACTCTTTTGATTCCTTCTGTGTTGAGTCTGGCTTGTTTGAGTTACTGCAACCTCCTTAGAGTATCAAGCAAGCAGAGTGGAAATCATGCAGTGTTGTTGCTTGGTACTTTTGATGTTGGAGTGGTCAGTTTGTCTTTGGAGGACATTTCCTTTTAGGTCCCAGTCTTACAAACCTATCATTTTTGGGGTATTTAATGTCCTGTGGGCAACTTGGTATACGGTTTGGCCGAGGAGGGTGTGGAATGTGGTACCTGTGCTTCTTCCCTGCTCTTCCTCCCTGAGTTTCCATACAGCATGCCCAGCACCAGTGCAGGTAGAAAAAGCTGTAGGTACTGCATAGCCAGCAGAAACACCAGGTGACGTTGCAATGGGTCAGAGGATGGCTGTCAAAATTAAGCAGGAATTAGTTTGGGCTTTTTTCCTAGCATCTTTAGAAAGTGTAATACCTTGAAGGGTATACAGCAATGACATGCCTTTTTGGTTTTATTTTAGAGTAGGAAGCAACGGGCAAAAGAGTTTCTCTAGATACGTGCAGGTTCAGTGGTCAGCACCCACTCTGAACCCTGACAGTCTGCAATAGCCGGTTTAGGCTTTTCATGTGAATCTTGTACTGAGTTTTAATTAGGTCTAACCTACTTGGCTAATGAGACCACGCTGAGCCTTGACTTAATACTTAATGACTCATTAATTAATTTTTTCTCTTTCTGTTTGGTACTATGTCTAGGATTGAATTATGCAATTTTTTGGTGTACTTCGAACTGTGTGTCTCATTAATGTAAAATGTATTTTTTTTGTCCAAGACTGTATTTGTGCTTTTGATACTGCTTTCAATTTAATTTTTCATTCTTATTTAACAGCTTATTAAAACAATTACATTTTCAGAAAATTTTCAAGGGAAGGGGCTTCTCTGGAGATGCTAGAATAAAATTAGTTTCTGATAGTCTCTTGAGATCATTAGCATGATAATGAGACTGTGCTATTACGATTTGTCTGTGAAAAGATGGAAGATGATGGGTTTTGTTGTTTGTTTTTTTTTTTTCCAGGCACTGCATTCTGTATTTCTCTAATGAGTAGTTCATTGTGAGATGGGGATTTATAGCTGAGACATTGTGGCCAAATTGTAGTCTACACAGGGAACAAATGAGGGGGAGGAAGTTTGGTCATTTTCATGGTAAACCGTTGCAAACACAAAAGCAGGCTGCTTGGCTGAAGAAGGAATCATTATAAAAGCAGTAGTGATGTCTTACTCAGGCAGAGCTTAGAGTAGAAGCAAAGTGTTTTGCCCTCTGATGAACATGTTTATGCTTAATATATGTTATATGCTTATCTTAGCTTTGGAATATAACTTAAAAACCCTGCTGTATCTCATTTGTAAAAGTAGAGAATGAGAACGTTTCTGCCAACACAGGTTCCTCTAGTTAATATGAATAAAGTTAATTTTGTGTGTAAGACTGACTATCACATCCTGACATATTGCTCATCTGCTTCTTCACTTAAGGTGGGTTTTTTTTTGTTTGTTTGCATTTCAGTAGCTTAAAATGCAGCAAATTTAGTTTTCTGACAATTTCTTAAATGTTGGGCACACTTTGTACAGTACTTGTTTTAAAGATGCTTTTTAAGATAGTAACATTGGCCTTCAAACCAGCAATGGCTTGGCTTATGCAACTTTGAGCTGTGTTACATGATTTTCAGTGACATACTCAAAAGTTTGGAAAACCAAGATTATCTGAGACAAAATACTGTCTCCGTATTTTCAACAGCATTTTATGTTTAATGAAAATGGAAGAAAAGTGTATCTGTGTTTTATCCTGGGGTGTAAGTCTAACAATAGGGAGAGCTTTAATATATAGAGTCAGGTTTACTCTTTCTGGACCAACCATTAGAAAAAGAAATGTAGCACATTGGAGCAGTGTGTTACAAATGTTGTAAGTGTATTTTCATCAGTGGAAATACAGCACTCGGACAGCACAATTGTTTTTATAGGTTGGGCACATACGCAGCTGAGGGGGTAATACATGGGTCTGCTATAGAGACATCTGAAGTTTTTACGTTTGCAGTCCTCATTATGTGTGAGACATGCTTGATGATAAAGTTGGAGAGCGGCATTACTGATCACTACTTGGTAGTGTAACATCTTGTTTCTGAGGCATGATCCTGCAGGTAAAACCTGTAGATTGGGTGTGGTGAGAAGTATCCATTTTGTATGTTTCTTCTGTAGGTTTTTCTCCCCTACCTATCATTCAGAGGGAGGTAGGCAAACACACAAGCATAGGGATGGGAGCACATGACTCATGGTTTGTATTCTTGCCTTGTGTGTGTTATCTGTGTAACAGCTGACTGAAAAAAAAGTCTGCTAAAACCTCCACTGCTTCTCTCAGGATATAAAGCATCATTTGACTTGATAGCACCCATGAGCTATAGTTTCCATTCAATTTTTTCCTAAAATCTCAGAACTCTGGTTATTTTTATTGAAAACATTTTCTTCTAGTGAGCTAGTGCAGGAGCAATTGTGGGTGTCAGTCTTCGATAGTAGTAGAAGCAGCCTGATGCTGTTGGTGCTTATGACCAAGTCTGCTGGCAACTAAACTTCCCTTTGCTTTTGCTTTTTGTTTGCTTGGTGGTAGTTCAAATTAATTTGAGTTATGTTCATAAACTTGAGTTCATGAACTTCAATTCATGTCCTTTTGAAGCGTAGTTTGGAGCAGGAAGGTTGTCCTTTGTAGCTCTTAATCTTCTCTTAAGGTTATGGGTTTTTTTTTGTTGTGAGAAAGTTTGTGACATTCCCTGTGCAACAGTAATTGAAGAAAACAGAATTTAAAACAGAACTTGAAAACAAACAGCTATTTCCTAGGTATATTCAAATCTATACACCTCATAAGCTAAGTTAGTTGAGCCACTTCATCAATTACAAAGTGACTCATTGGAAAAAGAAGTCCCTTATTACTTTGGACTTCTGTCAGCTCTGGTTTGTTTTCCCAGTGAGTCTGTAATTTTTCTCAGTGAGTCTGTAATCTTGGGTGTCTCTCTCTTTTTTTTTCCCTTGGGCACCTGAGATAGTCCTTCAGTTCTTAGTTGCTTCTTGTCAGCTAGAAGCTGTTTGCAGGTGCTCAACAGTTTAGCTATGGGACTCACATGATCTCTTTTTACTGAACAGATGGAGAGTGCCTGACTTGGCTTTTGATGCTGCAAATGTGAAACCAGTAGGTGTAATGACTGACATCCACCTTTTGACTGGAAGAGGCACTTTAAATTGCTAACCCGAGGGAGGATGTAGAACTTTGCATGGGAGACTCTAGTAAAAAAGATCTGATTAACACTGCAGCTTGGTGGTTTTTGTTTTTTTTGTCTTGTGTGTGTATTATCTGTTTGGATTATGTGTGTGTTTCTGTAATTCATTTTAAGATCTAAGTTTACTTTAGATAGATTAAATTTTAAATTGATTTGCAGTACAAATTAACAAACCTTTTTAGGCATGTAGTCAGTATTTATCTCAACAGTACTATAGTACATGTGTCAGAAGGACACTGACTCTGTGGTATGTTGTCATATGACTAGCAGGTTACTTTCTCACAGCTGTCAAGGAGTACTTTGTCTGAAACCTTGTGGTTTGGAAGGAGTCTGTGACAGCAATCATGTAGTCATCAGAGAGTACTTCACTGCAGGGTTCCTTCTCTGCTTGTATTGTAGCTAGCTTTATCTCTGTTTCCTGAGAAGCTAAGTAAAATCAAACTGATCTGAATTTCAGAAACCTCTGATGATCTACAGTTTGACTTGCTGCTCCCAAAATAGCTGATAGAATCTTCTTGCTCAAATACTTTTCGGGCTACAGCTGAGTTATCAGGAATAGTGTGACTGCCTGAGTGGTGCTTCCGGTTTGCATGTGCTGTATTGGTCTTCGGTCTGGAATGAGTGCAGACCTAATTGTGTGGCGGCTTCTTGGTCCATGTTATGGCAAAATAAGAAAAATCCCTGATTATTAATCAAAGATTTCTGATATGTTTAGTTTACTTTTTCTCTGCTTTTTGTCTGGTTCCTTATTTCTCTGTAGTATGTGATGAAACAAGGACAGTATTCACTTCCAGGGCTTCTGTATGCCCTTGGCTCGTATGCCTATTTCAGAACATGTTTCTGTGTACACGGAGTTTGGGCTGGGTTTGCTTCAAGGGGAGAATGCAGTTGAACTTGCAATGGGAGAATAACACTGTCATCAAATAAAAACTCAGTATCGGGTGAAAGTGTAAAAAAAAAAAAAAAAAAAAAAACCCCCCCCCCCCCCCAAAAAAAAACCACCAAAAGCAAACAAACAAACAAAAAGTTCTGACCTTAGACTAAATTTGTCTTAAACAGTAAGTTTTACAGTATCTAAGTGGAAAAGTGAGTATAGCAGTGATGCTTTCTTTAGTCTTAAGGTGATTAATTCAGTGGCTATGCCTTTATTTGGTGTTTTGCAGATTAA